TTCTCATGCGCGTTGACCATTATGAGACCTTAGTTACTGACCAATGAAATCTGTCCATCCGAATGCACTCCTTAAGGTGTTGGTCACCACAAACTCATTCGAGAAGACTACAGACTGCTATTCCCTCCGGTCATCCACATGGTCATGCCAATGTGGTGCTTCAAAACTCACATTTGTCAATCCTTTCATCAAAGCCATAGTTCAACCAACTCTGCAAAGGGTATTTGGCAGTGGTTCGAAGAATAAGTAGTGGTGCGAACAGGGTAGGCTGGCCATCAGTTAGTGCTAAACACAAGCACAACACAAGTCCTTTTGATGTGAAGCAAGGAGGATCAAGCTGTTTTACTCACAGCTGGTAATGCAAAGTAGGTCGTGATGAAAGGGCAGCTGGCGCATCATTTTGCGAAAACCTACCTGTGCGCAGCTGCGGGCTCATCAGTCCATCGTCGAGCTTTCTATTAGGTCGTCCCCCTTCTGCTTTAAAGCGAAAGATACAGAAAACTGGTGTTATATGCATTAGGCGTGAGTCAAATTGAGGAGCCAAAGTGAGGACAAAGGTATTTACTTCACCTCTCTTGGTCCGCCGAATCAAACCAAGCCATAGTGTGAACGCTGGAGCATTAAGGAAATACAAACTCTCATTGCTGAAATAACGATGTGGTGGGAGAAGGAATTGCGCTTCACTTTACCATAATCAGGAAAATTGGCGATGGTAACGCAGTATGCGGTAGAATTGTCCCCTTCACACGAATGGCTTATAAAACACGACTCCTTTTAATGCTCAGAGGCAAGCAACCTTTCCTACCATAAAAACGTACTACTTCAGTGCTTATTTGAATGCCTCGATACAGAACATGGTGATTACATTTACCTAAATCACAGAAGCACGTAAAACATGCAATGAAATACCGAAATCGTGGTGCAATGCGTTAATAATATCGTACAATGTATTTGTCAAAATCAAGAGCCAAATGTCATCCTCTTTAAGACACTCGCCCATTCCTTTATAACAACAGTAATGCATGCATTTGTGGTGTTTGTAAATACGCTTGCGGTGCAGCAGTGATGATGGATGAAGGAAAGTGCACAAGTTTTCAACATAGAGGAAGTTTAATACGCATTGTCGAACGAAGTGTTGCACAACACCCATTGGTTGCTAAGGTTTGCTGTACTCTTCTTGCTTCTCTCTCATATGCTTCTAAGTCTAGGCATTTTGTGAATCAAAAGCCAGTCCCTATTTCACAAAGTATACGCGATACTATGTACGCTACACTTCTACGCGTGTTGTTAGCAAGGGGAAAAGGGGTGCCTTACGACGTGAAAGTTTAATATTTTGCAATTGCCTATACCACCTCCGTTGTTACTTCCGAGTACGCTGTCTTGCCTAGGAGAGGTGTAATAAATCCCAGGCAAGTTGAGAGACTTGGTTGGAATTTGATTGCTCATCGCTAATGCAAACTGAGTGGGCAGGCATTAATGGCATTGCAAAAGGGCTTTCTTTTCCTATCCATTTACATCTACAAGCTATGCTTGGGCAAAGTGATATGGACATGAAGAAGGCAACAGCATTTTAAGCAAAGTTGACAGGAAATGCGCTTAAACCAGTATAGCATATTGCAGACCTCATTACGGGGAACACGAGCGCACTTCCACACCGAAGTGAACTTCTTCCGAAACCTCATTTAGCACACTGTTTGCAGACGCCAATATCATATCGTACTAAAGTGGCGACACGAGCGAACGATCGGGCATTTAGATCATTTTGTAACCAAGACGATGGGCTCTAAGACCCACTCACTGAATTAGACTGCACTTGAAACGAGGGTTGTTCTAAGAAGGTCACGGCTGCAGGGGAATTCTGCCGAGAAAGGTTGTAAGTTGGACAGGGTCAGTCCCCATCACAGAATAAAGTGAGATCGGCGCGCCTGTCTGCTGTGATACTAGAAGCCGATTGAGCCTTGAGGTGTAATCTTCGTAAGGATGGATAGGCGAACCACAAAGTAATAAAACGCGATGCACCTACAACCCATTTGATACCTTTGTACCTTTTACAACAAAAAGCTCATAGGTGTGTTGTAATGTGCAGAGGTATTTAAAAGCAATGAAGGTGTGGCAGTACACCACTGTGACAGGCTTCCTAGGCTTCTTCAGCTATCAAAAGGAACCGTAGTTTCATGTGCAGTGATTGCACATAAGCCATCCTAAGTGTATCCGGAAAGAAAATGTGTCATTTTGATGAAGTAAATCTGACTATA